ACTTGCAGTCACTATGATCAGATTACACTACAGGCCTTTCAATAGCCAACGGGAGATAAAAGAACAGATATGTAAGAAAATCATAGAAAGATGTAAAAATAACAGGGCTGTTGTAGTGAGTGATTTTAACTTCCCCAATATTGATCAGGACCCCTTCGCGTCAGGGGCTTAGATGGGGCAGAATTTATTAGGTGCATCCTGGAGGATTTCTTGAAACAATTTGTAATTGTCCAACTAGTACTTGCTGTACTAGATCTTGTCTTAGGGAATGAGCCTGTACAGGTGATCGAAGTTATAGTGGGGTAGTATTCTGGGAACAGTGATCTAAATTCCGTACATTTTCAGAAAGTTATGGATAAGGATATGACTGGTCCTCTGAAAGTACTAAATTGAAGGATGGCTAATTACAACAGTATTAGGCAGAAACTGGTAGAATTAGGTCGGGGAGAGCTGTTTGAGAGTAAATCTGCATTGATATGTGGGAGTCGTTTAAAGGTCAGTTGATAAGAATTCAGGACCAGCATGTTCCTGTGAAGATGAAAAATAAGGATGGCATGATTCAGGAACCTTGGATGACAAGAGATCAAAAAGAAAATGGAAGCATATGCAAGCTTTAGGAAACTGAAATCAAACAAGGCCTTGCAGGACTACAAAGGATGCAGAAAAGAACTTAAACAAAAAATTAGGATGGCTAGAAGGGGCCACAAAATGTCCTTGGCAAGTAAGATCAAGGAGAATGCAAACACATTTTATACATATATTAGGAGCAAAAGGGTAACCAGGAAAAGGGTGGGTCCACTCAAGGACAAAGGAGGGAATTAATACGAGGAGCCAGAGGGGGCAGGTGAGATCCTTTATAAGTACTTTACATAGGTATCCACCAAGGAGAAAAATATGGATGATGGTAAGATTAGGGAGGGATATGTTTATATCCTGGTGCATGTCAATATTAAAGGGAGGTGGTGGTGTTGGGTGTCTTGAAAAATATTAAGGTAGATAAGTCCCCAGGGCCTGATGGTATCTATCCCAGGAGGAGGCAAGGGAGGAGATTGCTGGGGTCTTGACAGAGATCTTGGAGTCCTCTTTAGCCACAGGCAATGTCCCAGATGACTAGAGAACAGCCAATGTTGTTCCTTTGTTTAAGGAAGGCAATAAAGCAAATCCAGGTAATTACAGAGTGATGAGCCTAACATCTGTGGTAGGGAAATTATTGAAGAATATTTTTAGGGATAGATTTACTTGCATTTGGAAAAGAATAGATTTATTCAGGATAGACAGCATGGCTTTATGCAGGGGAAGTTCAGTGTCACAAACTTGATGGAGTTTTTTTCAGGAAGTGACGAAGATTATTGAGGAGGGTACGGCACTGGACGTTGCTTACACGGACTTTTCTAAAGTAATGTGACAAAGTCCCTAATGGCAGCATGGTCCAGAAGACTAAGTTGCACAGGATCCTTAGTGAGTTGGCAACTTGGATACAAAATAGGCTTGGTCATAAAAGACAGAGGGTGGTTATGGAGGGGTGTTTCTCTGAGGTTTGTGACCAGTGGTGTTCCGACAAAGTGATTTGAATGACAACATGGGTATTCTGATTAGTAACTTTGTAGATGACATGAAAATTGGTGGAGTTGTGATATTGAGGAAAGTTGTCAAAGGATTTAGATCAGTTAGAAAGCTGGGCAAAGAAATGGCAAATGGAGCTTAATCCAGTCAAGTGTGAGGTGATACATTTTGGGAGGTCAAATGCAAGAGGACAGTATACAGTAAATGGAGGACCCTTAGGAACCTTGATATACAGAGGGATTTTGGTGGTTCAAGTCCATTCCTCCCTAAACGCGGCAACACAAGTGGATAAAATGGTAAAGAATGCATACAAATTGCTTGCCTTTATCAGTCAGGGCACTGAGTATAAATGTTGGCAAATCATGTAGCTATACAAATCTTTAGTTAGGCTGCGTTTAGAGTATTTTGTGCAGTTCAGGTCACCATACTATTGGAAAAACATGGAGGTTCTGGAAAGGGTCCAAAAGGGGTTTACCAGGATGTTACCTGGACTGGAATATATTTGCTACAAGGAAAGGTTGGACAAACTTGGATTGTTTTTGCTGCAGTGTCAAAGGCTAAGGGACTACCTGAAAGAAGTATATAAAATAATAAGAGGCACGGATAGGATGGATAGTCTTTTTCCCAGGGTGGGACTATCAAGTACTAGGGCCATAGCTTTAAGGTGACAGAGAAAGTTTAAGAGAGATGTGCAAGGATTTTTTTTTATACAGAGAGTGGTAGGTGCCTGGAATGCACTGCCAGGGGAAGTGGTAGAAGCAGACGTGTTCGCAAAGTTTAAGAGGCTTTAGACATACACATGAACAGGCAGGAAATAAAGGGATACGGATTAGTTTAAAATAGTATCATGTTCAGCACAGACATGGTGGGCCAAGGGGCCTGTTTCAGTACCATACTTTTCAATGAAGAGAAAATCAGAGTTAACATTTTGGGTCCGGTGACCCTTCCTCAGAACCGTGTTCTGTGGAACAGTCACTGGACCCGAAACATTAACTCTGATTTTCTCTTCACAGATGCTGCCAGACCTGCCGAGCTTTTCCAGCAACTTCTGTTTTTGTTCCCGATTTACAGCATCCACAGTTCTTTTGGTTTTTATTCCATACTTTTCAATGTTCTATTTGCTTTCCCTTCCCCGTTGTAGGGCACTACATGCTTACAGCATCCTTATAGTGGTTAAGCAGGTCTATAGCCTGACGACAGAGAGAGTGTGAGTGTGTGTCTGTCACTGTATCAACAGCCATTCTCCCACTGATTTTGTGCAGATTGAAATGGACAATGCCAATTTGCACTCAGTAGCATTCACTGTCCTAACCCTATATCCACTGAGCTCATTATCCTTATCTCCTTCCCCATTAACTCCTGCAAGGGAGTTTCAAGCTTGTAATAGGACATAAGTATCTTTTCTTCAAAGCATGCACTATAAAGTACCAAGCAGCCAGTCTCTTACCAGATAGGAAAACTGGAGCAAGAGTGTGTCCTTCAACCTCTTGACACCATCTCATCATTCACTTGGATTTATTCCATTTAACCTGCATCTGTCCAGGCACCTTAATATCTCTTCCTAAGAAAACTCTTATTAATTAAGTTGGGGTATTTTCAATTGACCTAACCTCTACAGCTTTTTCAAGGGACAAAGTTCCAGATTTTCACTACTTTTTGTGTTAAGAAGTACTCCCGGACATTATCTCTGAATGGTCTACCTTGAATTTTAAGGTTATACAACATATCACAACTTGCATTATATCATTAATCAAGAAAGCGTACAAAAGGAACTGTATTTCTTTCACCTCTTGGCCAGTGGCCTCAATGATTCCATCCCCTCCCCGTGATGACATCTTTTCAATGTATCTGGCTCTTAGTCCTTCCTTCACAAAACCAATATCAGATAGCAGCTCTGCAAATTGTCTCTTCATACTCGAAATCTCCTACAATGTGGAGAAACACAATAAAAAAAATACGAATCATTATGACACGATGCATTTAGTGAATTCTTAATGTTAGAAGAGCTAGAAGTTACCTACCTGTAGTATTCTTCCAGATAAAAAGTTCTGTCTGCAGTAACTGTATGCTGCTTGAGAGCTCACGTTTAGGGCAACACTCCATCCCTAGATCGATAATTTAAATTTAAAAAAAAAACATGTATACCTTTTAAAAGAAATTACACACACAACACTCACATGGAACAAATGCTGGGTAGTGATCACCTCCAACAAGGTGGCCTGCCTAGACATTCAAAAGCATCATCATTGCCAAAACCCCACCATCAGCACCCTGGGGGTCACTAGAGACTAGAAATTGTCTTGGACCAACTATATTAATAACAGGAGCAGGACAGTGTTTGGAGGCTCAACTCCTGGTGCAACTGTCACTATATTCTCCCGCTCATGAAAAGATCAAGAAGAAGCAGAACCAGAGATTTAAGGTAATTAGTGAAAAAGTAACAGCAATATTAGGAAAAGGTTTTTCACACAATGGAAAGCTTAGATCCAGAATGCACTGCCAGCAGATGGGGAGACAGTAAGTTCAGTGACAGCATTCAAGTGAGAAATAGATCGTTACCCGAAAAGGAAAAATGTGAGGGAATATGGGGACAAAGCGGGAAAAATGACACTGGGCAGCGGTAACAATTCTGAGCTGAGGGTTAAGTCAGTAGTATGGACAGATACACTCGCAACAACAACCAAGGAGCTCACAGCATCCATTCGTTTGGCAGATCTGCCGCTAGACAAAATATTGCCATAAGCACATTATGAGTGCTGTATTTCCATTTTGCAGGAGGTATTGTAGCAACTCACTCAATATGCTTCAAACCTTCACCATTAGATTGGGTACCAGAAGCAAAATCATGGCCACATGAACAGGAAAGTTGTGCTGAAGCTCTGGTTGGGCCCCAACACTGGGCTACATCCAGTTTTGGCCATAACATTTTAGGAAGGATGTGAAGGTGTTTGAAAGGATGCAGAGAAGATTTCTCAGAACTGTTCCATGCATGGGTGCTTTTAGTTACAAGGTTAGGTTAGAAAAGCTGGAATCATTCTCCTTGGAGCAAAGCTGATTGAGAGGAGATTTAATAGAGCTGTAGAAGATGAGGTGGACAAGGAAAACATGTTGCCACTGGCTGACAGTACAAAGACGAAGGGGCTGATTTAAGGTTTTGGGTCAGAGATGCAGAAGGATGCAAGAAAAAAAAACTTTTTACACAGTAAGTGGTATTTAGCTGAAACTCACTGCCAATATAAACAGTGAATTGGGAAACAGTCGGTGATTTCAAAAGGAAATTGAATGTTTATTTGAAGGATATAAACCTGCACTGTTATGGAAACTGTACAAGGAATTACTTGGAGGAGAGCCAGCAAGGCTTCAGGGTGAATGGCCTCCCTCTGTGCTGTGAATAACTAAGACCATAATTTTCCTTCTTTCCTCTAAATCACATACCAATTTGAAGTGTATACATGTCATACTTCATCATTGAAGGGTACAAATTCTGGAAATTCCTGATTAAAACCATTTACGATAGCACCATCAGCTCATGGAATCCCACTCAGCCGTATCTAACCAAGTTTGTGAACTAACTATGTAGGAAACTCTGCCTATGTCAAATACACCAATGTTTTACATCACAATAGCAGTCTGCACAAAATAAACAAAGTCAACATTGAATGTAGGAGATCACTTGCATTCTAAAGCAAAGACAGAATGTAGTTTGAATCTTACAGAGTCATAGAGATGTACAGAAACAGACCCTTCGGTCCAACTTGTACATACAGACCAGATAACCTAAAGTGATCTAATACCATTTGTCAGCAGTGCACTGACCAATAAAGGCAAGCACACCAAACACCTTCTTCACTATCCTGTCTACCTGTGACACCACTTTCAAGGAAATATGAACCTGAACTCCAAGGTCTCTTTGTTTAGCAACACTCCCCAGTGCCCTGCCATTAATTGTATAAATCCAGCCCTGATTTGCCTTACCAAAATGCAGCACCTCACAGTTATCTAAATTAAACTCCATCTGCCACTCCTCAACTCATCAACCCATCTGATCAAGGTCCCATTGTATTCTGAGATCAGATTCTTCACTGTCAATTATACCACCAATTTTGGTGTCATCTGCAGACTTACTAACTATGCTTCCTATATTCACATCTAAATCATTTATATAAATGAAGAAAAGCAGTGGGCCCAGCACCAATTCTTGTGGCACATCACTGGTCACAGGTCTCTAGTCTGAAAAGCAACCCTCTACCACCATCCTTTGTCTCCTACCTTCAAGCCAATTTTGTATCCAATTGGCTAGCTCCCCCTGGATTCCATGTGATCTAACCTTGCTAACCAGTCTACCATGTGGAACATTGTCAAAAATCTTGCTGAAGTCCATACAGACAATGTCTACTGCTGTACCTCATCAATCTTCTTCGTCACTTCTTCAAAAAACTCGATCAAGTTCGTAAGGCACAATTTCTCATGCACAAAGCCATGTTGACTATCCCTAATCAGTCCTTGCTCTTCCAAATGCATGTAATCCAACAACTTACTGATCACTGAAGTCAGGCTCGCCGGTCTATAGTTCCCTGGCTTTTCCTTAGAGCCTTTCTTAAATAAAGGCACCACATTAGCCAACCTCCAGACTTCTGGCACATCATCTGTGGCCACCATAGATACAAACATCTCAGCAAGGGGCCCAGCAATCACTTACCAAGCTTCCCACAAAATTCTGGGATATACCTGATCAGTTTAATGCATTTTAAGGCATCCAGCACCTCCTCTTCTGTAATATGGACAGTTTTCAAGATATCTCTATTTCTTTCCCCTAGTTCTCTAGCTTCCATATCATTCTTCACAGTAAACGCGAGAGAATTCTGATTCTTTAAGTTTCACATGGACGTTGAGGGGGATATACGTGTATAATGTGTAGTAGAATCCCTTCAGTGTGGAAGCTGGCTATTTGACCCAGCGAGTCCACATTGATCCTCCAAAGAGCATCCCACAGACCCACAGCCACACCCCCTACCCTAACCCTGTAATCCTGCATTTCCCATGGCCAATCTACCTAGCCTACACGTCCGTGGACACTATGGGCAATTTAACACGGCCAGTCCACCTAACCTGCACATCTTTGGACTGTGGGAGGAAGCCGGAGCATCCGGAGGAAACCCATGCAGGCACGGAGAGAACATGCAAACTCCACACAGATAGTCGCCCAAAGGTGGAATCGAACCCGGGTCCCTGGCGCTGTGAGGCAGCAGTGCTAACCACTGAGCTACCGTGCTGTAGAAACAGGTTCAGTTACAATCAGCACACTGACTCTACACATCAAGAAAAATGTTTTTTTACGCCACTTCTTTTATTTCTACTACCTGGAGGTGTTTCCTTTAAAACACAGTCTAATTATTATCTAAAAGGGAGAACTAGCCAGGGTTGTTCAGTGTGAGGAGCGCAGGGAAGATTTGGCAGCTCCAAGAGAATAAACGACATAATGTTTCTTTTTGACATTGAAAAGTTATGGAAGTTATAAAAGTGAACAAAGATGATGGTTTAACAAGAATACGTGCAACAAGAGTGCCCAATGGGCAAGTCCTCAGAGTCACAAATCTATCACGATCCACATGGTGCCAAATATGAACCACAGCAAAATTCTGAGTATTGTATGGAAAGCAATCGGAAACGAAGCCACCTTCTCAAGGACAAAGGTTGAGTCAAAGACTTGCCTAGCTAGCAAAATCCATATCTCACAAAGCGTAAACAAAAATGCCTTGAGAAGTCCACTGTCACTAAAAATCCCAAACTGTTTTAATATTAGAATTTCAGTTCTTCAAGAAGAAAATTATTGAATCACCATAATATATTATCCAAATGTCTCAAAAGCTTCAGTTAGCAGCTATAAAATTAGCTCAACGTCACTGCACTAAAGGTGCAACGATGTTTGAATTGTGCATTCTAAAATAAAATGGGATCAGTTAAAATTATACCCTTGAGCACATGCAACTATATTCAGAGAACTGTACAAAAGGCTGCTACTGTGAATCAACAGGATTATACACAAAGCAAGAACCGAGATGGGGTGACTGACAAAGGGTTGGAGAAGAATGGATTAAAGTTGAGAATTAACAGGCTGAATTATTTTCCAGAAATATTTCCCACATTATCATTATTACCCTGTAATCAAGTGGATGTGAATTTCCAAAAGTAACTTGGCAACTAGGATAAAGTCATGATATATTTGATTGGGGCGGGAATAAGGAATATATTCTAGGGAGAAAGTCAAAGTAAAGCACAGAACTCATTAACGTTGAGTATACTGCACACTCCCAATTGTTCATAGCAACAACTCAGCCTCTGAATCGTTTACATTACATCACTGAGAAATTGAGCCACTGTCTAAAAATCTTGAATTCAGACAAGCTGCAGGAGAATGACATTAAGCAGAATGTAGCACACAGTATCATTTGTTTGACAGGCCTGTGCTGGTCTTTCAACTCCCCATGAATCTCCTCCCAACTCAATCAACACACATCCATTTCTCCCATAATCTAAATGATTTTTTGGGTTGGAAATTTCTAGTCCCCTGTCCTTTCATAGTCAAACCATTCAGAGGGTTTCAGTCAGTCAATCATTTATGCATCAGCTCTTTAGAAAACCCAGTTATTCTCACTACCCTTTCTTTCCTCATGGCTCTGCAAATGTTCCCTTATAAGTATACATATAGTTCTCTTTTGAAAGTCAAGTGGGGCATGGTGAACAAAAGACCAGATTCTTAGCAATAGGGAGAGAGAAAGCCTGTGACCAGTTATCACAGGCTGTTCAGCTGATTGGTCCAGATGTACCAGAGAGGGCAGATCAAACTCAAAAGACAAAAATTCAATGGTTTTCAATAGCCTTCAAATCTTTGGTCATTATTCTTCATCCTGATTAATACAATCACAGATTTACAAATAAAAGCTGTCATTGGTAGGAATTAGCAATGCAGGAAACAATACAGCAGGAGTGATGTACAGGCTGCAGTTTTACCTTGTAGGCCTGGAGAAAAGCAAGAAAGTCGCTATGAGCAACAGCAAATTCCAACTTCTTTTCTCTGGCTTCTTCCTTCTTATCCCACGGAGAAACCTTTTACAAGGCACAGACCATTTTGATTAGAAACATCTATTAATTGAATTTGATTAGAACACTTTAAAATTGCAAATATTAGTGTTTTATTCTAATTATGTTTGAGGTTTGACACCTTACTTACTGCCCTAAGAAAACCAAAAATCCTTAAAATCATTGAGTTATATCCACCTGTTCTCATCTTCACATCTCTCTGTACAGATTGTGCCTGTTCCAATTAGCAGTCAGCCTAGGCTTGGTGGTAACATTCTCACCTCTCTGTTAGATGATTGTGGGTTCAAGATCCAATCAAATGAGAATATTTAACCTTTGACTAAAAAAGTATTGCTTTCAGATTACTGTTTGTGTGACCTTGCTGTGAGTAAATTGGCTGCCAACTGCCTACAGGACTACAGTGACTACACTTCAAAAATACTTAAGCTGGCTGTAAAACTCTTTGGGGCATCTTGAGGCATTATAAGGCACTGCAATCTTCTTTTCACAAAATAAAATTTTATCCATTTGACAAGGTTTATAATCACAAGCCAGTTACTTTACAACAATACACAGCATCAAATAGAACTGATACCTTGAAGTATAAAATACTTCTATATAACAAATCATTTCAATAGATGTTATTTCTTACTTGTATTTTTTTGTTCGTTAGCTTCAATCTGATGGATTGATTTTACTTACAAAGGGGGATTTAAAGGCCAAGCTGGCTGCAATGGTAAGCGCAGGATCTAGGCAACGGAAGATTGCACCAAATAACATCAGTTTTCCAATGCGGACATCCACTGGCAAAAAGGCCAAGTGATACCCCAGGGGAGTAAGCTTTTCATCTAGTGTGAGGGCTCCAAGATCCTGCAGCCGATTCTTAGCTGCGTTCAACCCTTCTTCCATGGGTAGTTCAACCAGACGAGAGAGAACAGACTTTAAGTCATGATCTGCAAAAATGTCCAGAACTTTGATCCTAGACAAAGAGAAAAAAAGAATTAAAACACTCAAATTCCTCTTTCATTCTCCACAATCTATAAAATGTAATATTATCTAGAATATCACCTGCAAAGCTAATTAAAACACCTGCAGTCATAAATCATAACTTCATCCTGCAGGAAAGAAGTTCTTTGAATTTTAGTAAGATATGTACTTGTTCAATACTGAGTACTTGTAATAAAAATCAAAAGGAAAATGAGTACATAAATTATTCTGTCGCAGTTTTATTTAAGCAAGTTAGCCATTACCATTTATCTTCAGCATTTTCTCCATTCTGTGTACCTCTGTCAGACTCTAATGCAATACTGAGGGAGTGCTGCGCTACCAGAGCTCTAGTTTTTAGACAAGATGCTGAATGACAGCCTGCTTGGTGTCTCAAGTTGATACAAGATTCAGTCCATTGGATCTTGTGTGTTTTTGGCTAAACAAAAGTTGCAACAAGCTATTGGAGGGATTCTGCATGGCCCAATGACATTTCTCACAGTATCTTACTAAATATCGTACCAGGAGGCCCAGGTTCAAGTCTCAACTGCTCCAGAGGTATATAATGACATCTCTGAACAGGCTGATTAGAAAAATAGGTTAAATAAAACTTTTAAAAAAATTTAAGGAGTAAAATGCACTGTACATAATAAGTGCCTGTAGACGTACTCTTCTTGAATTTGCAGAAGGCACTGTTAAGGTGTTATATCAAAGGTTACTTTGGAAAATAAAGCTCTGGTACAGTGAATAATAGATTGGTTTGGATAGAGGACTAGTTCGCTGGCAGAGAAAAGGAAAGTATGCAAAAATTATCTGATTGCAGAATGTGATAAACGGAGTCCCACGGGGGACTGCCAATTTTTACAATTTACATGAATACATGAGATGAGGGAAGTGAAAGCATGGTAGCTAAATTTGCAAGTGACACAAAGATAGGTAGGAAAATATGTTGTGAGGAAGACATGAGGGTGCAGGCAGATATAGACGGATTTCAAGAGTGGGCAAAGATCTGGTAGTTGGAGTATAATGTGAGAAAACATGAAGTTGTTCACTTCCACAGAAAGAAAGGAAAAAACAGAGTATTGTTTAAATGGAGAATGACTATGGAATTCCATGGTTCAGAAGGATTTAGGTATTTTAGTGCTTGAGTAACAAGAATGTAGTAAGCAGATACAGCACATAATCAAGAAGACTAATGGGGTGCTATCCTTTACGACAAGATCAATTGAACATAAAAGTCAGGAAGTCATGCTTCAGTTGTGGAGGGCATTAGTGAAAACACATCCTGAACATCGCACATAATTTAGGCCTCCTAATTTAAGGAAGGATGGAAATGCATTGGAGGTGGTTCAGAGGCAGTTTATGAGATTGATGCATGGAATGAGTGAGCTGTCGTGAGGATAGATTGGACAGGCTTAACTCATTTCTACTGCAGTTTAGAAGAATGAGGGGTGATTTGATTGACATGCATAAGGTCCTGAGTGTCTGGAAAAGTGGATGCAGGAAGGATTTTCCTCTTGTTGGCCAGTCCAGAACAAGAAGGCACTGTGTTCAAATTAGGGGTCACTGTTTGGGTCACAGATGCCGAGAATTTTTTCTCTCTTAGAGGATTCTGCAATTTTGGAATGGTGGAGGTAGAGTCATTACATATTTTTAAGGCAGCAATTTATTCTGGATTTAAAGGTTTTTGGGAGTAGATGACAATGTGGAATTTGAAACACATAGATTAGCCATGATCTTACTGAATGATGGACCAAACTCAATGGGCCGAAAAGTCTATTTTTGCTCCTATTTTGTACATTTGTTTGCTATGTATCTGTTTGTATGTGAGGTTTTAGCAATGGATCAGCTTGTAGTATTCCAAATAAAAAAGTTGTAGTTAAAGTTCAACTCTAGAGACTTGAGCGCAAAAATAAAAGACACACCTGCATAAGGAATCTATATTTCACCTCAGACATTAAACAGGGGCATCAAAGATCCCTCGGTAGTATTTTAAAGTAAAGCAGTGAAATTCTGAAGTACAACATTCATCCCCCAAACATTAGCATTAAAAAGAAGTAGTCCTGTCATTATCACAATGTTTTAGGGATCTAGTTGCATGCAAATTGGCTTCACATTCCTAACTTCCAACACTTCAAAAATACTTCCACATTTAATGTGTTAGTTCCCTAAAGTCATGAAAGATGTAACAAAAATGCAAGTTACATTTTTACATTTTAAACAGCTACAACTTGTTACTTTGGAATTGAAGAGATGGTAGGAACTGCTGATGCTGGAGAATCTGAGATAACAAGGTGTAGAGCTGGATGAACACAGCAGGCCAAGCAGCA